AAAGGGAGAAAATAAATTATTCACTACTATTTAAATAACTATAAAGCAGTGTTTCTTCCATACTTTTTTCTCCGGGGGGGGGGGCACTTGAAATTTTCGGGGGGGGGGGGGGGCGTAGACTTTTTTCGGGGGGGGGGGGAGGCGGACACTGTTAAAAGTATATATTTACTATATAAATTTCATTTCGTTCGAGGGAGCGGTAGACTTTCTTCGGGGGGGGGGGGGGGGGCGAAGAGATGCCTGGAAGAAACTGCTATAAAGAAAACCGTGGGTCGCTTCCTAAATATTAGTAAAAGTATCCAATTGATACTAAAGTTGAGGTAGATTGAGCTGTTTCCATTATTATACACTGACGCAGAAGCCACGTTGATTGTATATAGATCTTTAATCAGCCACCATGACGGAACAGGAACAGGAAGTCACCAGACATAAATAAGGGACATCACCCAAAACAACATTATAAATATAAGACTTATACAAGAAGAGTGAGTTCCCTTGACTTCACAATTCTCAATATATTACATCCCTTTACCCTTAGTAAACAACAACACAGCTCTCAATAGAACAAATGATAGTATCCTAAAATCACCAAATATATTGTAACATGAACATATATGATTGGAATCATTTGGTAGATTACATCTTTACAACAAATGCAAAATATGCTACAACATAAATACAAAACAATGATGTCAAAGTCCTCTTGACCTTTAAAATCATAGGTCTAACTTATCTAGGACTTGTCCTGTTTGACCTTCTCAGCGGCTTTTGATTTGGTGACTCAAGATTCTGACCATCTGGACTCTCTAGCTCAGGAAGTCTAGGATCTAAATCATTAATTCCAGAATTTACATTTTCTGACTCTAGACTACTTGGTTCACTCATATCAACGGAACTTGGTTGTGGAACAAACTGAGTTGGTGTGAACTGTTCAGATTTGGTGGGATTGATAGATTCACACTTATTATCTGCACAAGTTATTTTTAACTGGTCTGCATGTCTACGGACAATAAGTCCATCATTTGTTTTTACTTTATAAGACACAGGTCCTGTACCTTGAACAATTTGACCTGGTATCCATTTTTCCCCTCTCCCATAATTTCTCAGATACACATTATCATTAACTCCAAATTCTCTTTCAATTGATGTTTTGTCATGATTTACTTTTTATGTATGTTGATGTTGGGAAACAGACCTTTGAACAGTTGGATGTAGTAGGTCAAGGTGAGTTTTAATTTTCCTACCACACAACAATTCGCATGGTGCAACACTTGTTTTTATATGAGGAGTTGTGCGGTATTTGGCTAAGAACCTGTTTACTCTTTCATTCTTACTGTACTCATATACTTTTATTAAGCACTCATCTTTTTGTGTTTCTCTTTTAACATCATTCACATTTATATTGGAGTTATCCATGATAGTGAAAAGAACAAATACATCTTCTGGTACATAACTAAGGCTTTGGTTTTTTAAAGGTAAACGACTAAGACTATCTGCACTATTCTCAGATCCAGGTTTGTATTTCAATTCATAATTGTATGCGGCTAGTGTGATAGCCCATCTTTGAATCCTTGGTGAGGCATGCTCAGGCAGGGGTTTGTTTTCCCCAAATAAACCCAGTAATGGCTTATGATCTGTAAAGATGGTGAACTCCCTACCAAACAGAAACTTGTGAAATTTCTTAACACCAAAAATGATGCCTAAGCCTTCCCTATCTAACTGAGAATAATTTTTCTCAGCCTGGTTCAAAGATCTACTGGCAAAAGCAATGGGTCTGTCACCCTTTTCATCTATGTGGGATAAAACTGCTCCTACACCATCTGGTGAAGCATCACATGTTAAGATAAGTCTTTTCCCTGGGTCATAGTGAGTTAGTAAGGTGTCAGAAGACAAGAGCTTCTTTTGCTGCATTAAAAGCAGCATCTTGTTGTTTACCCCAGTGCCAAGTTGCATTTTTCTGCAGCAGCTTGTACAGTGGTGATAATTTACCAGACAGATTCCCTATGAACTTCGCATAGTAATTTATCAAGCCCAAGAAAAGCTCTTAACTGTTGGGTATTTTCAGGTTTGGGTGCTTCTTTAATGGTTTTTGTTTTCTCAGGTTGAGGTCTGATGCCTTGCTTGCTTAAAATATAACCAAGAAAACTAATATCTGTCAGCATGAATTGACATTTATCTTTGTTTATCTTTAAACCCTTTTCACCAACTATTTTCAAGACTTTATCAAGTGTTTTAAGATGTTCAGTGTCATTCTTACCAGTTATGTACACATTGTCAAAGTAAACACAAACATTTGGAATATCCTTAAAAATACTGTCCATGACAGCCTGGAAAATTCCAGGGCTAGATAATATACCAAAACATAGTCTTTCATATTGGTAGAGAGTATAGACTTTTGAATCTGGATGCAGTTCTGGTTGAGTGTAAGCATGACTAAAGTCTAATTCAGTGAATTTGTCTCCTCCTGCTAAATTCAAAGAAAGTTCCTCAATGTTAGGAATAGGGTACCTATTTAGCTCTATATGCTTATTCAGTGTAGCTTTATAGTCTCCACAAATTCTTACAGAACCATCCTTCTTTAACACTGGTACAATGGGCGTTGCCCAATCGGAATAGTCTACCTTCTTTATGATGCCATTAGATTCCAATCTACTTAGCTCATTTTCAATTTTATCCCTCATTGCATAAGGTGGAACTCTAGCTTTGCAGTATCTTGGATTTGTGTCTTTAATGCTTATCTTCATTGTCCTGTCATTTAGTAATCCTGAACTACCAAAGACACCTTCATTTTCAGATATAACTTTATCTATTGAAGTAAAACTAGATTCTCTTGCTTTGTTCACTGAAAATATACTCCCCCAGTCTAACGATCAACTAACCAGTTCCTATCTAGTAATGGTGGTCCATTTCCTTCAACCACAAGAAGAGGAAGTTTAACACTTTGACCATTATAACTTACATGAACCATACACTCTCCTATCACTGGAACATTGTCACCTGTGTATGTTGTTAGGCACTTGTGACATGGTTGTAGAGGCACTGATCCTCCTGTGGCAGCGTCAAAGTCCTTCTTTGTGATGACTGTTAGAGATGCTCCAGTGTCAAGTTGGAAGATGATGCTCTTACCGTTTATACAAACTGGTACATTGATGGGAGCATGATTTGTTGATTTCACAGAGAACAGGTTGAACTCCGGCTGCGAATCAGTTTGAGCATTTTCACTGGTAGAGTGGTTCATTGGTTGGGTTAGGTAGTCTTGGTGAGAGTTAACATAGTGCTGCCTTTGGTTGCGGTACTGTCTTGACTGGCTAGATTTAGCAACAGACGAAGACTTTGCAAAGCAGGCCTTGGCAATGTGACCTTGCTTACTGCACTTATAACAAGTTGCTGACTTGAACTTGCATCGATGAGATGCATGGGGACCGTTGCATCGATGACATTTTTGATAATTATTACTAGATTTAGATCTAGGATTTGAACGTGCAGGCTGTTTAGCATAAGTTGAAATGCTCTGATGGGGTTGGTGTTTGTTGACTAACCTGCTGTCTACTGCATGGATCCCTGAGGGCGCTAGAGATCTGGCCGCCTCGGATGACTGCTGTAATGAAGTTGCTAGTTGTATTGCTTTTTCCAATGTGAGATCTGACTCGAGAAGCAACTTTCTTTGAACATCAGGGCTGTTTACACCTGTCACAAACTTTTCACATAGTCTGTCAGACAGCGTGTCCCCGAATTCACAAAATTCACTTAGATGACGTAAAGCAGCAACATATTCTGATATTGATTCGTTTGTTTGACGAGTCCTACCGTCAAATCTGGCTCTACACAGGAACTTGGGTGGTGCGGGCGCATGGTGGTCTGTTAGCAGTTTGCTCAGCTCGTTAAAGCTCTTGGTAGTTAGACTAGCTGGTGCGCATAAGTCCTTTAATAGCCTAAATTGTTGAGGCCCTATGACTGTTAACAAAACAGCTCTCTTTTTGGTTTCTATCGTCACGTCGTTAGCTTCAAGGTAAAAGTTTAACCTATCTAGATAATCATGAATGGTTTCATCATTCGAATCAAATTCTTTTATTTGGCCATACAGCGCCATTATCCTAGAAATACTTAGCCAATATGCTCTAGCAAGCTTCTTTTTAAGTAAGCATGTGCTCTTTTTCTGCGGATGATTTATCCTCGTCGCCAATTGAGGTTGATTGAGCTGTTTCCATTATTATACACTGACGCAGAAGCCACGTTGATTGTATATAGATCTTTAATCAGCCACCATGACGGAACAGGAACAGGAAGTCACCAGACATAAACAAGGGACATCACCCAAAACAACATTATAAATATAAGACTAATACAAGAAGAGTGAGTTCCCTTGACTTCACAATTCTCAATATATTACAAAAGTGTCCCACGCTTTTCTTTAAAGTTATTTAAATAGTAGTGTATCATTTATTTTCTCATTTTTAGTGCGTTATTTTTAGTGCGTTATTACATAAAAGCTTGTTATTGAAACGTTTTTTATTAAATTTGTTTATAAGCTTTTATTTAACTTGCTTCCCTTGTCTGTCGTCAGTCGCCATTCTGTGTGTCTAGATCGAACGCCGGAGCGAAAATTCGGGCATTTCTAACTGACGGAAACGGTTCAAAGTTAAAGGTTCACAATTCTGGTCTCCAGATCCTAATAAGTGAAATCTGTGACTTTTCAACCCCTCCTCCCCTACGTTCCATAAAATGTTATAGACTCATAGATCTTTGTCTACTGTGTTCGGGTGGGAGAGGGGTGGGAGGCTGTTTAAAAAAACAATACTGTTTACAAATATCTCAGGTATAAATCTATGCAGACCTGGCATCTCTTGCTGGTGGGGGGGGGGGGGACACCCCTCAAAGTCCTAACATTTTCATAATCCATATGAAAACAGTATTCTTTCTCAGTTTGTTTCGGTGCCTAAGTGAGTTCATGTTTGTTGACGTTTTATTTTTAGACTATACAACGCCAACCATTGGCCGGACGAATCCATTGTCAGACTGGTATAAAGTTAGTATAAACAATCGTCCGAAACAAAAATCATCTAATGACGAAATAAAAATCTAGATCTAGATCTAGCTCTATATTTATTATTATTATAGCGTATGTTTGATTATGATAGTTTAGATTTATCTAATATCTAGATTTAGAATAAATTTTAGATTCAAATGAAATTCTAAAAATGGGATTAAACAGCAGTGTAGAAGAGGTTAGCAGTAGACTTAAGTCTACTCAAACTAATCATAGCAAGAAACCTGCAGATAACTCAAAACTTCAGTCTTCCACTGAGACTGCTAACGATAAGTGTGAGCTGCAGAAGATTCATCATGATCATAGATCTAGATCTAGATCTCATTCTAATCAGCATAACGTTAGCAATAATTTTGAAAACAACATAACAACCGAGTCTTTGGTGTCAAATTTACCTGACTGTCAGGCTGTCAACAAAAACACTGGAGTAGAAACTAGATCTATCTGCAAAAAAGATTATGGATTTTTGATCGGTAAGCAATATATTTCAATATAATGAATACATCAGAATGAGAATATATCTGATCTGTTTTAGTAGTAGCCGAGTAACAAATAGGTAGTAGCATAATTTTTAATTATAAGCATAAGATTAGATTTAGAATTAATGAGTTTTGGGAAATGGCGAGGCAGTAAACTGCGAGAAGGGCGCAATAACCGTCGGTCACGAGACTTTTTGCCGTGTATTTTACCACAACCCGCTACTTACGCAGGGTGGTGGTAGGATGCGAGGCTGTCTGCGAAAATTTACCGTGACCGATTCACAGTGTTATTTGATGCAGACTTGAAAGACGTTTCATTTAATTGTTAAACTTCTGATTTTTCCAAGCTAGACATTCTGATGATTTGTGAACTTCACCATCTTTTGTGTAGACTTAGAATACCACCTTGTTAAAAACCGCCAGAAATACCGCAGAGGATAGATCAACTTATTTCTTTTGTTTGGAACACCGAGGCCTTCTGCCGCCACAAACATATATTTATTGTATTGTTGCAAAGTAAGTTTCCTTTATTATGTAGCAGAACGAACCCTCGGTGTAGCCTCAACCAACCGGCGTTTCTTTTGTGTGCATTGAGTTCAATATAAACTCAAAACAATAATATATTTAATAGGTCAGGCCACATACCACACACTCATAGTGTTGTGTGTTGTGCCTTAATAAATCTCAACTAGTAAACTAGATAAACTATCTCCCTTTGTTTTCTTTAGAGATTATAAAATTAACTAATTAATTAAAAATGAGATTACAAATTTCCAGACAAATTTATTTTTTACGATTAAAGAAACAGCTTCGTTGTTTCAATACCACCCGCTCCCCTTCTTGCATCCAACATTCCACTTTTGAACCTGACCATGTTAGTAATTTTTTATTTTTTATGTGGTGGAGGAGAGGGCTATATACAGTTATACTCATTGAAACCGAACTTAAAATAATTCACCAAGGTATTGACCTTGAATGATGTTGCGGCATGCAGGTATACTTTTTTCCCCAAAAAATTCAAGGCAGTATATGATATTAAGGTCGCACAGTGTCCTGTCACTATGAAGACTTAATTAGTAAAAGTGGGACGGCTCGAAATGTATACCGACCTAACCTATGTTAAAGTTTTTGTATGCACTAACTGTGTCCCTACAAACTGCGTTTTTTTTTTTTGCGCAGATTAGAAAACGTGAGCGGGCAAGAAGCGGATGGCAATGCTAAGAATTTTGAATATCTAGATATAGATTTTAAAAATATAGCCTAAAATAATATTCTCTTTGTGAACTCACACTGACCTGTCTATCAAGACACCATTTTCTCCTACCTTCAACAACACAAGAGCGGGCAGTCGTAGGATGTTAAGATGTTTTAATATATATTTTAAAAAATCAAAACTAGATTTAAAAAAAGAACGACACAACTTTTGTGATATATCAACTTATTTAGTTTATAACTATAAAAAAAAACAAAAACTCAAAAACATGAAACAATTTTTTTTCATATTGTGTCTGGCTATTTACCCTTGATTCCGCAGGTGTCTCGCATTTTCTTCTTGCAGTTTACCGCCTCATCTTTTCATGTTTCGCGTCTTGCAGTTTCTCAACAACCGTGAGTTTTCTACCTTATAAACCTGTTAGTTACTGGTTGTTGAAGTTAAGCTTTACATAGATACTTCATTTATATTGGTAGCTTAATTAGAAGCTGAGAAATCCATTTGTTTTGTTTCTAATGGGGTGAATAACAGAATATTGTTAATGGGAGACAACACAAGGAAGCAAAAAAAATCAACATAAAACCAATTTTTAAAAAATTGTATTTTGATAAATCATATCACTAAAAGTTACAAGAATATCAGCACCTGAAATACTAAAAGTTACAATAATATCAGCACCTGAAATACTACAGGAAACTTAAGTACTGCTGTTATTTGCTATTAATTTTGCACATAGCTCTAATTGAAAATTATAATAATGAAGGTGGCCTAGCCTAATTCAAATAATTTCTGACATGTTTAGAACATTTTATGATTGAATTAAAAGATTGAACGGTTGTTTTTTAAAATGAGTATGCCTTATATTGTCTATTACGTAAACAAGATGGCGGCTGAAAAATAGCAGCCTTACTTAGGTGTATGGAAAAAATTCATTAAAAATAATTGCTGAATCCTTTGTGAACAATTCATGTTTATATTAGAAGGGTAAAAGGTTCTTCTGTATAGCTATTCACTTTTTAGCTTCAATCTTCAGCTATACATCTTTGTGACTTTTTCCCCATGACTTTATTGCTGTGACTTTTTTTCTGGGGTTTTTTTTTTTGTGTTGTTTTTTCTGTGACTTTTTTCTTACACTCTTAGTACCCTTCTTTATCCTATAAATTAGCATGCCCGTATAGAATCTATACATCTAGATCTAAAGATCTAATTATAAAGTCATATTAACATTTTTATATTTAAAAAAAAAACAAGACAAAGAATCTATATTCTAGATCTATAACCTGACAAACATTTTGTATTTCCTATTTAAAAAAAAACAAAAAACAATAGACTTCATAGAGAACTTCAGGTTTATTGTTTTTAGACATGAAGAGCGATTAAAAATCATAATGATTCAGGGGAAAACACGTCAACAAACTGATCACTATGAAGTGAAACATTCTTTCTGTGTATAGTTGAAGTGACCTTCACCACACACCCATAAAAAGGCCAAGTTCATTAATAGGTCATGATTACACCCAGCAGCTGAACACCTAAAAAACTCTTGAAAGGACAATTTAATATTTTTTTAATGATGTTAATAGCACTGTTATTAAAATAAATATGGGTAGAAAAACTTTTTTTTGGTTGTAGGACTTACTAAAGATTTTATTATTTAATGTTTCAAGTTTTTTTGTGACTAAAAAAATTTTTAAAAAGCTAAAAAAAAATTTGGTTGTTTTAATTTTGTCAGTGAAAATGTAAACAAATATAGCATATCAGGGCCATTTACTATCCTTTAGCTTAAAAAGGAAATTCTAAGAATTTTATCAGCAAAGTACAAATGACTACAAAGTGGGCTGTATTAAAGATGTATTACAGTGTTTCTGTACAGCCAATCAATGCATGTGTTACAAAACTGTGGTGTGGTTGTATGTATTCTGTGGTGTCATGTAATGTGGTGGGTGGTGTTGTGTCATCTGGTGTCATTTGTGGTGTCATCTGGTGTGGTTTTATCTGGTGGTGTCATGTGGTGTGTGGTGTAGTGTCATCTGGTGGTGTCATGTAATGTGGTGGGTGGTGTAGTGTCATCATGTGTGGTGTCATGTGTGGTATCATCTGGTGTGGTTTTATCTGGTGGTGTCATGTAATGTGGTGGGTGGTGTAGTGTCATCATGTGTGGTGTCATGTGTGGTATCATCTGGTGTGGTTTTATCTGGTGGTGTCATGTGGTGTGTGGTGTAGTGTCATCATGTGTGGTGTCATGTGTGGTATCATCTGGTGTTGTTTTATCTGGTGGTGTCATGTGGTGTGTGGTGTAGTGTCATCATGTGTGGTGTCATGTGTGGTATCATCTGGTGTGGTTTTATCTGGTGGTGTCATGTGGTGTGTGGTGTAGTGTCATCTGGTGTAGTGTCATCTGGTGGTGTGGTGGTGTGGTGGTGTGGTGTAGTGTCATCTGGTGGTGTGGTGGTGTGGTGGTGTGGTACATGTGTTTGAATTCTCCCCAGGCAATCTGGACAAGTTCCCTGCATCAGCCCAAAGATTGTTCAGTTTAGCTCGGCTGTACCTGGACACAGGTTTGACCAGAACTGACCAGGGGTTCATTGCTCTCTTCAACTCTTTGGAATCTCAAGGTAAACATAGTTGGAATCTCAAGGTAAACATAGTTGGAATCTCAAGGTAAACATAGTTGGAATCTCAAGGTAAACATAGTTGGAATCTCAAGGTAAACATAGTTGGAATCTCAAGGTAAACATAGTTGGAATCTCAGGGTAAACATAGTTGGAATCTCAAGGTAAACATAGTTGGAATCTCAAGGTAAACATAGTTGGAATCTCAAGGTAAACATAGTTGGAATCTCAAGGTAAACATAGTTGGAATCTCAAGGTAAACATAGTTGGATCTCAAGGTAAACATAGTTGGAATCTCAAGGTAAACATAGTTGGAATCTCAAGGTAAACATAGTTGGAATCTCAAGGTAAACATAGTTGGAATCTCAAGGTAAACATAGTAGGATCTCAAGGTAAACATAGTTGGAATCTCAAGGTAAACATAGTTGGAATCTCAAGGTAAACATAGTTGGAATCTCAAGGTAAACATAGTTGGAATCTCAAGGTAAACATAGTATGAATCTCAAGGTAAACATAGTTGGAATCTCAAGGTAAACATAGTTGGAATCTCAAGGTAAACATAGTTGGAATCTCAAGGTAAACATACTTGGATCTCAAGGTAAACATAGTTGGAATCTCAAGGTAAACATAGTTGGAATCTCAAGGTAAACATAGTTGGAATCTCAAGGTAAACATAGTTGGAATCTCAAGGTAAACATAGTTGGAATCTCAAGGTAAACATACTTGGATCTCAAGGTAAACATAGTTGGAATCTCAAGGTAAACATAGTTGGAATCTCAAGGTAAACTTAGTTGGAATCTCAAGGTAAACATAGTTGGAATCTCAAGATAAACATAGTTGGAATCTCAAGGTAAACATAGTTGGAATCTCAAGGTAAACATAGTTGGAATCTCAAGGTAAACATAGTTGGAATCTCAAGGTAAACATAGTTGGAATCTCAAGGTAAACATAGTTGGAATCTCAAGGTAAACTTAGTTGGAATCTCAAGGTAAACATAGTTGGAATCTCAAGGTAAACATAGTTGGAATCTCAAGGTAAACATAGTTGGAATCTCAAGGTAAACATAGTTGGAATCTCAAGGTAAACATAGTTGGAATCTCAAGGTAAACATAGTTGGAATCTCAAGGTAAACATAGTTGGAATCTCAAGGTAAACATAGTTGGAATCTCAAGGTAAACATAGTTGGAATCTCAAGGTAAACATAGTTGGAATCTCAAGGTAAACATAGTTGGAATCTCAAGGTAAACATAGTTGGAATCTCAAGGTAAACATAGTTGGAATCTCAAGGTAAACATAGTTGGAATCTCAAGGTAAACATAGTTGGAATCTCAAGGTAAACATAGTTGGAATCTCAAGGTAAACATAGTTGGAATCTCAAGGTAAACATAGTTGGAATCTCAAGGTAAACATAGTTGGAATCTCAAGGTAAACATAGTTGGAATCTCAAGGTAAACATAGTTGGAATCTCAAGGTAAACATAGTTGGAATCTCAAGGTAAACATAGTTGGAATCTCAAGGTAAACATAGTTGGAATCTCAAGGTAAACATAGTTGGAATCTCAAGGTAAACATAGTTGGAATCTCAAGGTAAACATAGTTGGAATCTCAAGGTAAACATAGTTGGAATCTCAAGGTAAACATAGTTGGAATCTCAAGGTAAACATAGTTGGAATCTCAAGGTAAACATAGTTGGAATCTCAAGGTAAACATAGTTGGAATCTCAAGGTAAACATAGTTGGAATCTCAAGGTAAACATAGTTGGAATCTCAAGGTAAACATAGTTGGAATCTCAAGGTAAACATAGTTGGAATCTCAAGGTAAACATAGTTGGAATCTCAAGGTAAACATAGTTGGAATCTCAAGGTAAACATAGTTGGAATCTCAAGGTAAACATAGTTGGAATCTCAAGGTAAACATAGTTGGAATCTCAAGGTAAACATAGTTGGAATCTCAAGGTAAACATAGTTGGAATCTCAAGGTAAACATAGTTGGAATCTCAAGGTAAACATAGTTGGAATCTCAAGGTAAACATAGTTGGAATCTCAAGGTAAACATAGTTGGAATCTCAAGGTAAACATAGTTGGAATCTCAAGGTAAACATAGTTGGAATCTCAAGGTAAACATAGTTGGAATCTCAAGGTAAACATAGTTGGAATCTCAAGGTAAACATAGTTGGAATCTCAAGGTAAACATAGTTGGAATCTCAAGGTAAACATAGTTGGAATCTCAAGGTAAACATAGTTGGAATCTCAAGGTAAACATAGTTGGAATCTCAAGGTAAACATAGTTGGAATCTCAAGGTAAACATAGTTGGAATCTCAAGGTAAACATAGTTGGAATCTCAAGGTAAACATAGTTGGAATCTCAAGGTAAACATAGTTGGAATCTCAAGGTAAACATAGTTGGAATCTCAAGGTAAACATAGTTGGAATCTCAAGGTAAACATAGTTGGAATCTCAAGGTAAACATAGTTGGAATCTCAAGGTAAACATAGTTGGAATCTCAAGGTAAACATAGTTGGAATCTCAAGGTAAACATAGTTGGAATCTCAAGGTAAACATAGTTGGAATCTCAAGGTAAACATAGTTGGAATCTCAAGGTAAACATAGTTGGAATCTCAAGGTAAACATAGTTGGAATCTCAAGGTAAACATAGTTGGAATCTCAAGGTAAACATAGTTGGAATCTCAAGGTAAACATAGTTGGAATCTCAAGGTAAACATAGTTGGAATCTCAAGGTAAACATAGTTGGAATCTCAAGGTAAACATAGTTGGAATCTCAAGGTAAACATAGTTGGAATCTCAAGGTAAACATAGTTGGAATCTCAAGGTAAACATAGTTGGAATCTCAAGGTAAACATAGTTGGAATCTCAAGGTAAACATAGTTGGATCTCAAGGTAAACATAGTTGGAATCTCAAGGTAAACATAGTTGGAATCTCAAGGTAAACATAGTTGGAATCTCAAGGTAAACATAGTTGGAATCTCAAGGTAAACATAGTTGGAATCTCAAGGTAAACATAGTTGGAATCTCAAGGTAAACATAGTCGAATCTCAAGGTAAACATAGTTGGAATCTCAAGGTAAACATAGTTGGAATCTCAAGGTAAACATAGTTGGAATCTCAAGGTAAACATAGTTGGAATCTCAAGGTAAACATAGTCGAATCTCAAGGTAAACATAGTTGGAATCTCAAGGTAAACATAGTTGGAATCTCAAGGTAAACATAGTTGGAATCTCAAGGTAAACATAGTTGGAATCTCAAGGTAAACATAGTTGGAATCTCAAGGTAAACATAGTTGGAATCTCAAGGTAAACATAGTTGGAATCTCAAGGTAAACATAGTTGGAATCTCAAGGTAAACATAGTTGGAATCTCAAGGTAAACATAGTCGAATCTCAATCTTCAAGAACCCCCCCCCCTGTTACACACAACCAAATTTCTTTTCCCTCCAGTCCAACACTTTATCAAGGTTGTATTGTGTGTCCAACATTTGTTGTATTGTGTGTCCAACATTTGTTGTATTGTGTGTCCAACATTTGTTGTATTGTGTGTCCAACATTTGTTGTATTGTGTGTCCAACATTTGTTGTATTGTGTGTCCAACATTTGTTGTATTGTGTGTCCAACATTTGTTGTATTGTGTGTCCAACATTTGTTGTATTGTGTGTCCAACATTTGTTGTATTGTGTGTCCAACATTTGTTGTATTGTGTGTCCAACATTTGTTGTATTGTGTGTCCAACATTTGTTGTATTGTGTGTCCCTTAGGTCCAACATTGGATGAAGATTGTGCTGCCTGTGGTCATCAGACTGACCTGTTTACTCCACTGACCAGGTCAGCTCCCCTGTATGTAGGCCAGACATTTATCCAGTGGAAGTCTGCCCGAGATGTCTTGCAGCTGTCCAGTCTGTGTCTGCCCAGACGTCAGGTCATCTACCTCTTGCCTGTGCTTCCCTTCCCAGCATTCATCACTGACTTGACCCTGACCATCCACCAGTTGACCCTTGGCCTGTTTGAAGTTCTACAAAGCTGGACTCAGATCTTTTTCCTGGGCTATGAGGTTTTGATCCTACCCCCTGTCAGCCCTGAGTCAAGACAGTGGAGTGTGAGAGAGCAGCAAGCTCCCACTGGCCGCTACTGTGTGGATGATCTCCTGCCACTCTTGGAGGCTGAGCTGCCCAGAGATGGGCTGTGTGTTGCTGGCCTGACCTGGGCTGACCTTTACCCCCAGGGCTTCAACTCTGTGCTGGGCCAAGCCTCCTACAAACACAAGGCAGCTGTTGTCAGCTTTGGAAGGGGAGACCACCTAGCTCAGACTGGCCAGGATATAGGCACAGTGGATGGGAAGCTACTCTGGCAACTCTTCAAGGTCAGAAATAAGATTGGCTCTAGCTTTTAAAACAACGATGATTCCTTTAGTCATAAATTACAAATAGAATATGTTTTCAGTGCAAATGTAGAATCTATTAACATGCCATTTTTTGTACTTGTCTGATGCTAATATTTCTGCAGACAAAATGATATAGCCCACATCTGTGTTTCAGCCAATGTTCCTGATACATACACACCCTGTTTGTGAGCAGAGTTTCTTCCAGGCATCTCTTTGGGGGGGGGGGGGGGGGTTGCCCCCCGAAATTTTTTTTACCGCCCCCCCCCCCCCCCCCCCCCCCCCGAACTAAATGAAATTTATATAGAAAATATATACTTTTAACAGTGTCCGCCCCCCCCCCCCGAAGAAAGTCTACCGCCCCGCCCCGCCCCCCCCCCCCCCCAAAAAATTTCAAGTGCCCCCCCCCCCCCCCCCCCGAGAAAAAAGTCTGGAAGAAACACTGTTTGTGAGAGCTTGTCACTCTCATAGACATGCTCATTGTTTGCTATTTTTAAATCTTTAAAAAATAATTAGGGGCCAGATAGTTTCTGAAAGAGTCTTGCCTAAATACAACAAATGCCTTCAGGCAAACAGCATTCAGAACTTGATCTATGAGCTATTTAATTATTCCAGAACTTGACCTATGAGCTATTTAATTTTTCCAGAATTTGGCCTATGAGCTATTAAATTATTCCACAATTTGACCTATGAGCTATTTAATTATTCCAGAATTTGACCTATGAGCTATTTAATTTTTCCAAAATTTGACCTATGAGCTATTTAATTATTCCACAATTTGACCTATGAGCTATTTAATTTTTCCAAAATTTGACCTATGAGCTATTTAATTATTCCACAATTTGACCTATGAGCTATTTAATTTTTCCAAAATTTGACCTATGAGCTATTTAATTATTCCACAATTTGACCTATGAGCTATTTAATTTTTCCAAAATTTGACCTATGAGCTATTTAATTATTCCACAATTTGACCTATGAGCTATTTAATTATTCCACAATTTGACCCATGAACTTGTTTATTATTCCAGAATTTGACCTATAAGCTATTTGATTATTCCAGAATTTGACCTCTGAACTTGTTTATTATTCCAGAATTTGACTTCTGAACTTGTTTATTATTCCAGACCTTGACCCATGAGCTGTGCCATCTATTTGGACTAGACCACTGCAAGTTTTTCCGCTGTGCTATGAATGAAAGCAGCGCCGTGAGCCAGGCTCTGGCCCAGCCGCTGTTTCTGTGTCCTGTGTGTCTGAGGAAGGTGCAGGCCTCCTGCAGGTTTGATGTCTTGGAGCGCTACAAGTTGATGCTTGAGTTTCTCCACAGCATCAGCTCTCAGCTAGACCACTGCAACAACTTCCAAGAGTCAAGTCTATGGCTGCAGCAAGCTGTCAGCTACCTCGGGTCTTGATCACTGCCTTCACCTGCGTCAGCAACTGGAGTCAGATGTTTACCTGAGTCAGCCGCTGGAGTCAGATGTTTACCTGAGTCAGATGTTTACCTGAGTCAGCCACTGGAGTCAGATGTTTACCTGAGTCAGATGTTTACCTGAGTCAGATGTTTACCTGAGTCAGCCACTGGAGTCAGATGTTTACCTGAGTCAGATGTTTACCTGAGTCAGCAACTGGAGTCAGATGTTTACCTGAGTCAGCCACTGGAGTCAGATGTTTACCTGAGTCAGCCGCTGGAGTCAGATGTTTACCTGAGTCAGATGTTTACCTGAGTCAGCCATCAGATGTTTACCTGAGTCAGCCACTGGAGTCAGATGTTTACCTGAGTCAGATGTTCACCTGAGTCAGATGTTTACCTGAGTCAGATGTTTACCTGAGTCAGCCGCTGGAGTCAGATGTTTACCTGAGTCAGATGTTTACCTGAGTCAGCCACTGGAGTCAGATGTTTACCTGAGTCAGCCTGCTGGAGTCAGATGTTTACCTGAGTCAGCCTGCTGGAGTCAGATGTTCACCTGAGTCAGCCTACTGGAGTCAGATGTTTACCTGAGTCAGCCACTGGAGTCAGATGTTTACCTGAGTCAGCCTGCTGGAGTCAGATGTTTACCTGAGTCAGCCTGCTGGAGTCAGATGTTTACCTGAGTCAGATGTTTACCTGAGTCAGCCACTGGAGTCAGATGTTTACCTGAGTCAGCCTGCTGGAGTCAGATGTTTACCTGAGTCAGATGTTTACCTGAGTCAGCCACTGGAGTCAGATGTTTACCTGAGTCAGCCTGCTGGAGTCAGATGTTTACCTGAGTCAGCCTGCTGGAGTCAGATGTTTACCTGAGTCAGCCTGCTGGAGTCAGATGTTTACCTGAGTCAGATGTTTACCTGAGTCAGCCTGCTGGAGTCAGATGTTTACCTGAGTCTGATGTTTACCTGAGTCAGCCACTGGAGTCAGATGTTTACCTGAGTCAGCCACTGGAGTCAGATGTTTCCCTGAGTCAGATGTTTACCTGAGTCAGCCTGATGGAGTCATAAGTTTGGCTGAGTCAGCCACTGGAGTCAGATGTTTCCCTGAGTCAGATGTTTACCTGAGTCAGCCTGATGGAGTCATAAGTTTGGCTGAGTCAGCCACTGGAGTCAGATGTTTACCTGAGTCAGCCACTGGAGTCAGATGTTTCCCTGAGTCAGATGTTTACCTGAGTCAGCCTGATGGAGTCATAAGTTTGGCTGAGTCAGCCACTGGAGTCAGATGTTTACCTGAGTCAGCCACTGGAGTCAGATGTTTACCTGAGTCAGCCACTGGAGTCAGATGTTTACCTGAGTCAGATGTTTACCTGAGTCAGATGTTTACCTGAGTCAGATGTTTACCTGAGTCAGATGTTTACCTGAGTCAGATGTTTACCTGAGTCAGCCACTGGAGTCAGATGTTTACCTGAGTCAGCCTGCTGGAGTCAGATGTTTACCTGAGTCAGATGTTTACCTGAGTCAGCCACTGGAGTCAGATGTTTACCTGAGTCAGATGTTTACCTGAGTCAGCCTACTGGAGTCAGATGTTTACCTGAGTCAGATGTTTACCTGAGTCAGCCACTGGAGTCAGATGTTTACCTGAGTCAGCCACTGGAGTCAGATGTTTACCTGAGTCAGATGTTTACCTGAGTCAGATGTTTACCTGAGTCAGATGTTTACCTGAGTCAGATGTTTACCTGAGTCAGATGTTTACCTGAGTCAGCCACTGGAGTCAGATGTTTACCTGAGTCAGCCTGCTGGAGTCAGATGTTTACCTGAGTCAGATGTTTACCTGAGTCAGCCTGCTGGAGTCAGATGTTTACCTGAGTCAGCCACTGGAGTCAGATGTTTACCTGAGTCAGCCACTGGAGTCAGATGTTTCCCTGAGTCAGGTGTTTACCTGAGTCAGCCTGATGGAGTCAGATGTTTCCCTGAGTCAGATGTTTACCTGAGTCAGCCTGATGGAGTCATAAGTTTGGCTGAGTCAGCCACTGGAGTCAGATGTTTACCTGAGTCAGCCGCTGGAGTCTTTGCTTGCGTCAGCTGGAGTCAGATTAAAACTACTGTGCAATACATATCTACATAAAGGTCAAGCTTGTAGCTGAATGAACCAAAGTATTGATGCAGGTAAACAGTTCTTCTCTCATGTTTAAACAAAGTCCCAAGTAACAAGCTTGTTATTTGGAGTTATAAGTTTTTTTTTATTTTCAGATTTTATAGTTTCAGTATACAGAAATATGCAGATAAATGTTATTAGTAGAAAAATATGTATATTGTCAAAAAATGTGACTCATCTATTTTGTTTGCTCTTGCTCCATGTGATTTGGTCATCTAAATGTGATTTACAGATTGTATGGGTCCTCTCAGGTGACTTATGTTTTGCTTGTTTTGATACAGATAACTGGTTAGATCTACTAGCCTAGCCGGTTAGATCTTCTGGCTAACCCTGGCCTAGCCGGTTAGATCTTCTGGCCTAGCCGGTTAGATCTTCTGGCCTAGCAGGTTAGATCTTCTGGCCTAGCAGGTTAGATCTTCTGGCCTAGCCGGTTAGATCTTCTGGCCTAGCCGGTTAGATCTTCTGGCCTAGCCGGTTAGATCTTCTGGCCTAGCCGGTTAGATCTTCTGGCCTAGCCGGTTAGATCTTCTGGCCTAGCCGGTTAGATCTTCTGGCCTAGCCGGTTAGATCTTCTGGCCTAGCCGGTTAGATCTTCTGGCCTAGCCGGTTAGATCTTCTGGCCTAGCCGGTTAGATCTTCTGGCCTAGCCGGTTAGATCTTCTGGCCTAGCCGGTTAGATCTTCTGGCCTAGCCGGTTAGATCTTCTGGCCTAGCCGGTTAGATCTTCTGGCCTAGCCGGTTAGATCTTCTGGCCTAGCCGGTTAGATCTTCTGGCCTAGCCGGTTAGATCTTCTGGCTAACCCTGGCCTAGCCGGTTAGATCTTCTGGCTAACCCTGGCCTAGCCGGTTAGATCTTGTCAATTCTTAGATTTGACCATTGGCTCAGAAACATCAAGTTCTATGTCATCCAGGTAGCTCTCTTGTTTCTGGAGGTAGCTCTTACAATACCTGTAGGTCACCATAGCACAGAAACCATGACTCAGCATATTTGTTCCTGACCTGAAGCGGTCACTGCAGGCAAAAGATAAGGTCATTTTGTAGCAAACAACAGACTTACAGCAACCATTCTGTAGCAAACAACAGACTTACAGCAACCATTCTGTAGCAAACAACAGACTTACAGCAACCATTCTGTAGCAAACAACAGACTTACAGCAACCATTCTGTAGCAAACAACAGACTTACAGCAACCATTCTGTAGCAAACAACAGACTTACAGCAACCATTCTGTAGCAAACAACAGACTTACAGCAACCATTCTGTAGCAAACAACAGACTTACAGCAACCATTCTGTAGCAAACAACAGACTTACAGCAACCATTCTGTAGCAAACAACAGACTTACAGCAACCATTCTGTAGCAAACAACAGACTTACAGCAACCATTCTGTAGCAAACAACAGACCCACGAGGTCTGCTGGGATCCCCAGAGCGGTCAAGTTGATAACGACCGCCACCACCCCTGCACTGGGTACCGATGGGATAGCCAGGGACACGACACTGGTCAAAACCCTGGAAGAAAGTTGGTCAAGGCCATTGACACGCTGAATTGATGTAATGACCTATATAAATGATGTAATGACCTACATAAATGTAAATCACACTTCAAAAACACGTGGTGACCTATATGTTCTAACCTACTTGTAGTGACCAACATGTGCTGACCTACCATAAAAGAACGATCCTGCCAGCATGGAGGTCCGCACCAACGAGCTGACCTATAAAGACGCAGGAGCAGACGATAAAGATGCAGCTTCCGTCACGGTTGATGGTCGTGGCGAATGGTACAACAAACCTGGTGATGCGCTTGTCTATGTGTTGCTCCTCTTCCAGCGCCCGCAGAGTTTCTGGTATCGCCACAGCCCTACATCAGGACCATCGGCACATTAGATCCAATTTTTAACTTCCAAAACTTAACTTTTTCAATGTTCAACAACTTTCAAGTCCGGTGTTGTAGAACCCCCTCCCTCCTTTCCCCTCCCCAACTGAAGTCAATTGCAATGCCATAAATCTGTCAGACCTCCCCACCCACCCCCAAAATACAACTGCTTGTATTACATGGTTTTTTAATAAGAGCTTGACTCGATGCTACACTTTATTTATCCATGAACGTAATGGAACTAACATATTAACATCATTGAGCTGAATAGATACGACTGTACACCCCTGCTATCTTCGTGTCACTGTTCTTTGCCCCCACGCCCCCTCTAACCTGAAGGCTGTAAAAAAAATGAAATGAGTTTGGTTTCATTCTACCTTTGAGACTGTTCGACGTGTCTATTTATAGCCTCGCTACAGTAGCAGTGGCGGAACTAGAAAAAAAGCCCTCCCTCCCCCCCCCCCCCCCCCCCCCCCGCAGAATTTTTTTTGGGCCCTATATATATATATATATATATATATATATATATATATATATATATATATATATATATGGAAAACAAGAGTCGCTCTAAAAAAATTTTTAATTTCCATCTGGTACACGAATAAATCAGAGGTTTACCAACACACGAGCTGGCCCCATTCAGTTTTCCAAGTGAGAAGCAAAGACTCTCAAAATCTAATCCAACACACCAAACTGACGCCGATTTTTATGAGGCTTTCATCAAAACGTTACCAACCGTGTGCCCTGTTTTTCAGAAGTTGAATTAAATGTTAACAATGTCGGCAGTTCATATCTTGGATCTTAGGGCGCGGGTTTGTCCACGCTACCAACTAGACATTCCAAGGCATTCCTGTAAGTCCCTCAGCGACGGCCCAGGTGTCATGGGAGTCACGGGGCTCTTGGAGCTACCGGTTACATTACTGAACGGGTGATGGGTGCAACACATTGTTTCTTCCGGCATCCGCTTTTGGAAGATCTCGGGGCGCTAAATCGCATATTTCCGTTAGGCCTATGACAGAAATCTTTGCGGGCCTGTACTCAACAGCTTCCTAAGTTTTCATGGCGATTGGGTGAATGATGCAGAATAGACAGAAAAATGTTTTTCCCATGTACAACTGTATGTGGCCAGCTCACGCGTCGGATAACCTTCAGAATTTGGGGGGGGGGGGGGGGGGGGGGGGTGAAATCTGCAAATAATGTCACATTTTTTAACGATTAACAAAAAGCCAGACCCTCACACACACCCACCTCAATGACGTCATTTATAAATAGTAATTGACTATTAATAATGTTCAATTAATTCTAAACGTTTTAATTAATTTCTAAATAATTATATAAAAAATAATCTTAATTCTTACCTTCCCTGTTTTGTGAATTAGATGTGCCTAATACTATGCAAGTAAATTAATATCTGTTGACTAGTGTCTGACAAAATGTGAATCGTACGGTAAGGAAGTAGTTCATAAACGATACATTGATCTACTCGATACTTGCTAGGTTAAGAAAGATGGATGGGATGGGGGTCGGCTCGGGAAAAAACTTGAAAGAGACAACAAAACGCCTATGTTCGTCAGCATCGCCCATTGTAAAACTTACTCAGGGGAGATAATTCCAAGTATAGGCCTTAAAAGTTTACTATATTTGATATTTTTTTGTAAAAGCAAAAACAAGTAAACGTATATAAAACCGAAGTTTCTAGTGTTATATTTTTTTCATTATTTGTAGGATACAAGATAGTACAGGATACAAATTCAACCACTATTGCAAACACATACAATGGATTTCGGGTCCCTAACTAATGCCGCAAAGAAGAACCGCGCATCATGAAAGCCCACTTCATATGTAGTGGCTTCTCGTGCTATAGACTTTGTTGTTTTTTTAAAGAATTTTGCCGGCGACAGTGTGTGTTTGATTGTAGGAAAATAGAACTCGGCCTTGACGATGGTTAAAAAATACAACTATAAATAACTTTTAAATATATAAAAAAAATTGACGACAAATTTTTAGCCCCCTTTTTGGTCCCCATCCCCTGCCCCATCCGCCACAGTACACTTAGGAGGATCGGTCAAACAGTTACGTGTCCTCTATTTAGCTATCAAAGGGGGGCAACGAGTCAAAGAAGTCATTCAAATTTGAAGAGTTGTCTATATTTTACACAGTAGTTTGTGTAATGGATTTTATTGTTTGCGGAAGAGCGTGGTATAGTGACTGTAAAATAAAGATACTCGTACTCGTGTTTTTCTTGTACAAACCAAATTAAATTCAAAATTTTTAAAAATATTAATTATGGTCAGCCGTGGGCCCCTAAACGGCCTGCCCCCCCCCCCCCCCCCCGCATTGCGGGGTCTGGCGGCACTGTAGTTCCGCCCCTGACCAGTAGCATCAGGTTTAGCTATAGCCTCGCTACAATACCAGTAGCATCAGGTTTAGCTATAGCCTCGCTACAATACCAGTAGCATCAGGTTTAGCTATAGCCTCGCTACAATACCAGTAGCATCATGTTTAGCGGTTTTCTATTTATAGCCTCGCTACAATACCAGTAGCATCAGGTTTAGCGGTTTTCTATTTATAGCCTCGCTACAATACCAGTAGCATCAGGTTTAGCGGTTTTCTATTTATAGCCTCGCTACAATACCAGTAGCATCAGGTTTAGCGGTTTCTTATCCAGCAACTTCGTCGCCGATCTGTTGCGTGTATCTCAATCGCCCGACTGACCGTTGGCTATCCAAAAATCTTAGGGCACCCGTATGTTAAGGTACCCGTATGTTAATGTACCAGTATGTTAAGGTACCAGTATGTTAAAGGTACCATTGTAATATGTATATTTAGCGAAGATATTTTTAGAGAATCAAACTAGCCATGTCTGACGAAGAAGGTCATTAAATTAAATGATTAACCCTTGGTGCGGCACTTGGCCTTTAACCACGCTGTACTTACGAGCTAGCTGCTGCAAAACTGACAAGCCAAGGTCGTCCCAAGGTCAGCAGAAATGAAAACGGGTTTTCGCGGATGAGAATGAAATGTACCGCAGGGAGGATGAGGAACTGGTGGACGGCCAGCGAGGCCAACACACTGAGGGAGAACATCCCGAGCGAGCGGACTGAGCTGTCCAGGTCGCTCGTCTGCAGGAAGGCCACAGCAATCAGCGATGCCACGCCCACCGGCGTCACCCTGGGGAGTAAAACATGGCGGGTTTTGGGGGTCCTACATGAGTGATGATGTCATCAACTGGACAGACAGACAAACGCACTGACCAGACGAACCAGCGCAATATTTTCATGATGATTTCATTGGCCGAGAAGAAGAATGCCAGGAAGGGCTTGGCGACTGGTCCTACAGAGGCTGAGGCCATCCCGAATATCATACAGCACAGCACCAGGCCTGTGGAGAAATCATAAGGCATTGGTGGAGCCGGCAGTTGACCTACTTAAGGCATTGGTGGAGCCGGCAGTTGACCTACTTACGACTTTGGTGGAGCCGCCAGTTGACCTACTTAGCCTTTGGTGGAGCCGGCAGTTGACCTACCTAAGACATTAGTTGAGCTGGTTATCCCTACGCCCTTGACCATCAAAGTGCGGGTGGTGTTGACTGTCCGCCATGTTTGATTGCTTGCGTCACCTGTCCAATTAAATCGGTTGGGGGCGTCTAGTGGTTTGTCTAAATTTTACTACATGATATTTTACTCTGAATCTGCATTGTATGTGTTTCATGTATGTGTTTCATGTATGAACGTGTGTTTAATGATTTCTGTGCATGTGTCTTATGATTTCTGTACATGTGTCTTATGATTTCTGTATTATGATTTCTGTGCATGTGTCCACTCGCCTGTTGATTGGTTGCTTAACACAAAGTCTCGCGCCCTGTAGGTGGTCTGAGCCTGAAAACACGTGACAAGAATAATCCATTAACATGGCTGACTTAAGGCTTTCACTTGACTTACTTTTTTTTTTTAACAGTCGTCATGGTAATGATGGCCGACGAAAACGACGATTCCGGTTATTCATTTTTTAACAATGTTTCTTGGTAATTTATACAAGTTGAATTGGTTATTTATGAGTATTAATTAACAAAACCTACCGATTAGTGTTTGAAGTAAGTAAGTTTGCATTTTTGTAAACTTTTTTTTTTTTGGTCTAATAGCTGAGAACATCGAGCAGAACACAAGATGGGAAATACGTGAATTAGGGTCTACTGTATTATTTTATTTTGACAACATTCACACTTGTTTAACATATATAAAAGTATTTATTACATTTTACTGAACTAATTTCATTAATTTAAAAAATTAATCAGGGTAAAAAAAATTCCTAAAAAATACAACGTGAGACAAAAGGCAACCCATTTTGCCCACTTGTATTTGAAAGGGAAGAAATCAAGCAGACGACACATTTCTGGTGAACGGTGATTCGCGTCACTCCTGAAAAACGAAACCCACCGTGTAAGTCATAGCATCGTCGCCATTCGACCCTTTATCCACTGACGGCACTTACAAGTACCACTTTAATTAAGCGCCTGTATTATTTTTAATTTAAGACGAATTTAAATATTATTGATGTAATTGATAGTATCATCTCCCCTGAGTCACAGCTAGGTGGAGGGATCGATGTTTTTTTTTTTGAAAATTTCTGTTGTGGCGCCATTTTCAATCTCTGCTGTATCTGTAGTTCACAATCGTTCTGTACATATCTCAAATGTGTTCCTGATTTCCCTTTGTTTTACCTTATTCTTCAAGTTTTCAACACCGAATATTGTTTATTGACATCTTCGATAGTCAGGTCAATGTGTTTAACTTCTAGTTTTACAATTTTTATCAAATTGTCTTTGTAATAGATTGATGTTTGTGGATTTGTAAGTAACGTCAGGGCACACGGTCATTTTTTTTTTTTAGGATTTCTTGGAAATTGCAGATTTTCGATGGGGAGTGACATAAATATTATTTTGATAATTAATTATCGAAATGTACTTAAAAAATTATATTTATTCATTCATAAGAAGGTTAGCATAGGGTTTTCATCAGAAATATTGTAATTAATTGCAGATTTCTAGTAGTAAAAGAATAACAAGAATAGAGGTGGCAGTTGCAGGCTCGTTTACTAGGTTTAGTATACTTTATTTGTAATTGTATACCAAAGTCTAGTTCTAGAAGTAAGATGTGTTAGTTATATTTTTTGAAAAAAAAACTGTTATGTCTACAACAACTAGCGTGTACATGTAGACTAGTAATAGTTCATACATCTGCATGCAATATAGATCGTTTTGTAAATTTTAATCAGTAAACACAAACCAGTAGAATACTACGGCTGTTCTAAACACATTGAGCTCACTTCTATTTATGAACTTTACACTGTAGTGTAGACTTGTCATAACATTCTAGTAGGCTACAATTATACTAGCATTACTAGTAGTAGTGTACTGAATGACTAGGATTTCGTTTTCAAAATATTTGTTTATGTGGCTCATTGTAATGGCTATTGGAAGCTTCCAGCAAAAGCAGGTTTAGTCCGGCAACTGTTGCCACACCAGAAAGACGATAGACAATAATATATCAGGAATGCGGGAGCATGACATGTCGGCACCTTTTGCTGCGTTTGAAGTCTAAGATGTGTTCCGATAGAAAATCCAGTAAAAATCGTACTCAAAGTATACTTTTGTGCTGGGTTTATATGTGAAAATTACAAAAAATGATTGTTATAATGATTGCCATGTTATTAGTTAATAAGTTGTATCGTTTTTTCCTGTTTTGTAATTTTTTTAATTTTTGGAAAAAAATGTCCTACATTCGTGACGGTACTTATAAGTACCAATATATGTTTGGGCCCTTCAAAATTTATGAAACAAAATTTCCTTCGACATATGCTTTAAGTGTGCCAAAAGCAATATGATAACACATTGTTTAAGAAAAAATGTCATTCGGAACCTAATTCCGTAAATAAAGGGTTAAAGTCATTTCATCGTCGTCATTTAAAGTCATAGCATTGTCGCCATTTTAAAGCAACAATCTTTTTACTTTCTCGTATATACGAAGTATAGAGAAAGTATTGTAATCGTGCAAAAAAAAAAATCGAGATTTTTACAAATCTCGACGTTTTACACCTCACTGATACGGAAAAACATAATTTTGCAATCTTGTCCGTATGTCTGTGTGTGTGTGTCTGTCTGTCTGTCTGTCTGTGTAAACACGATTACTTGAGTACCGTTACAGCTAGGTTGATGAAATTTCATATATAGGTATTTTATCAAAATCGTAGATCCGTTTCAGCTTTTGAGCGATTTCCGACAACCGGAAGTGGTACCTTTTCTACCTTGAATTTTTCAAAAGCCTATAACTTGAGTACTATTTTAGATAGATAAATGAAATTTCACATGTAAGTAAAAGATATAATTCTCTACCTTCTATCAAATTTTGAGTAATTTCCGTAGACCGGAAGTACTAATTTACGCTATTTCCGATTTCTCAAAAAACGCATGTAAATTTATAAAGAACTAATAATATTGCGCACTATTATGTGCTTTTTGCTTTGGCGTTCACTTGGTGCGCAATTCTTTTTTCTACTAGATTTTATTCTATTTTTAAAAGTTTAAGTAAACAAAAATCATGTCTATATTCCGAGTTGCCATCCCTGGTAGTGTTATATTAGAATATTCGAGAAAGTTTAGGGGAGATCACTCCCGGTTTATTTTTTCTTGGCTACCGATTACTTTGGTGTCGAATTAAAGGAAAATAAATAAATGTAGATTTTAATTGTTTAAGTCACATTGAACGATAATGAAGTTTAAAATCCGAAGCGTCACACTACAGACTTAATTCAACTACTTCCAGAAGTTGATATTATTTATAGGTAGAGTAGAGTTTACCTGTTGAAAGCAAGCCGTGACCACATTTTCTGGGAATAAATTTCTGTGGAGGGGAGAATTTAAGAGGTGGCTTTAACAAGTGTCAGTTATTTAAACATTTATAGTCTGGTAAGATCAACAAAAATATCAACATTTCTAACTTGATGAGATCAACAAAGATGTCTCAACATTTCTAACCTGATGAGATCAACAAAAATGTCTGAGGTTTCTAACCTGATGAGATCAACAAAAAATATCAACATTTCTAACCTGATGAGATCAACAAAAATGTCTGAGGATTCTAACCTGATGAGATCAACAAAAATGTCTGAGGTTTCTAACCTGATGAGATCAACAAAATTGTCTAAGGTTTCTAACCTGATGAGATCAACAAAAATGTCTGAGGTTTCTAACCTGATGAGATCAACAGAAATGTCTGAGGTTTCTAACCTGATGAGATCAACAAAAATGTCTGAGGTTTCTAACCTGATGAGATCAACAAAAATGTCTGAGGTTTCTAACCTGATGAGATCAACAGAAATGTCTGAGGTTTCTAATATTTCTAACCTGATGAGATCAACAAAAATGTCTGAGGTTTCTAACCTGATGAGATCAACAGAAATGTCTGAGGTTTCTAACCTGATGAGATCAACAAAAATGTCTGAGGTTTCTAACCTGATGAGATCAACAAAAATGTCTGAGGTTTCTAACCTGATGAGATCAACAAAAATGTCTGAGGTTTCTAACCTGATGAGATCAACAGAAATGTCTGAGGTTTCTATTATTTCTAACCTGATGAGATCAACAAAAATGTCTGAGGTTTCTAACCTGATGAGATCAACAAAAATGTCTGAGGTTTCTAACCTGATGAGATCAACAGAAATGTCTGAGGTTTCTAACCTGATGAGATCAACAAAAATGTCTGAGGTTTCTAACCTGATGAGATTAACAAAAATGTCTGAGGTTTCTAACCTGATGAGATCAACAAAAATGTCTGAGGTTTCTAACCTGATGAGATCAACAAAAATGTCTGAGGTTTCTAACCTGATGAGATCAACAGAAATGTCTGAGGTTTCTATTATTTCTAACCTGATGAGATCAACAAAAATGTCTGAGGTTTCTAACCTGATGAGATCAACAGAAATGTCTGAGGTTTCTAACCTGATGAGATCAACAAAAATGTCTGAGGTTTCTAACCTGATGAGATCAACAAAAATGTCTGAGGTTTCTAACCTGATGAGATCAACAAAAATGTCTGAGGTTTCTAACCTGATGAGATCAACAGAAATGTCTGAAGTTTCTATTATTTCTAACCTGATGAGATCAACAAAAATGTCTGAGGTTTCTAACCTGATGAGATCAACAAAAATGTCTGAGGTTTCTAACCTGATGAGATCAACAAAAATGTCTGAGGTTTCTAACCTGATGAGATCAGCAGAAATGTCTGAGGTTTCTATTATTTCTAACCTGATGAGATCAACAAAAATGTCTGAGGTTTCTAACCTGATGAGATCAACAGAAATGTCTGAGGTTTCTAACCTGATGAGATCAACAAAAATGTCTGAGGTTTCTAACCTGATTAGATCAACAAAAATGTCTGAGGTTTCTAACCTGATGAGATCAACAAAAATGTCTGAGGTTTCTAACCTGATGAGATCAACAGAAATGTCTGAGGTTTCTATTATTTCTAACCTGATGAGATCAACAAAAATGTCTGAGGTTTCTAACCTGATGAGATCAACAGAAATGTCTGAGGTTTCTAACCTGATGAGATCAACAGAAATGTCTGAGGTTTCTAACCTGATGAGATCAATAAAAATGTCTGAGGTTTCTAACCTGATGAGATCAACAGAAATGTCTGAGGTTTCTATTATTTCTAACCTGATGAGATCAACAAAAATGTCTGAGGTTTCTAACCTGATGAGATCAACAAAATTGTCTGAGGTTTCTAACCTGATGAGATCAACAAAAATGTCTGAGGTTTCTAACCTGATGAGATCAACAAAAATGTCTGAGGTTTCTAACCTGATGAGATCAACAAAAATGTCTGAGGTTTCTAACCTGATGAGATCAACAAAAATGTCTGAGGTTTCTAACCTGATGAGATCAACAAAATTGTCTGAGGTTTCTAACCTGATGAGATCAACAAAAATGTCTGAGGTTTCTAACCTGATGAGATCAACAAAAATGTCTGAGGTTTCTAACCTGATGAGATCAACAAAAATGTCTGAGGTTTCTAACCTGATGAGATCAACAAAAATGTCTGAGGTTTCTAACCTGATGAGATCAACAAAATTGTCTGAGGTTTCTAACCTGATGAGATCAACAAAAATGTCTGAGGTTTCTAACCTGATGAGATCAACAAAAATGTCTGAGGTTTCTAACCTGATGAGATCAACAAAAATGTCTGAGGTTTCTAATCTGATGAGATCAACAAAAATGTCTGAGGTTTCTAACCTGATGAGATCAACAAAAATATCTGAGGTTTCTAACCTGATGAGATCAACAGAAATGTCTGAGGTTTCTAACCTGATGAGATCAACAGAAATGTCTGAGGTTTCTAACCTGATGAGATCAACAAAAATGTCTGAGGTTTCTAACCTGATGAGATCAACAGAAATGTCTGAGGTTTCTATTATTTCTAACCTGATGAGATCAACAGAAATGTCTGAGGTTTCTAACCTGATGAGATCAACAAAATTGTCTGAGGTTTCTAACCTGATGAGATCAACAAAAATGTCTGAGGTTTCTAACCTGATGAGATCAACAAAAATGTCTGAGGTTTCTAACCTGATGAGATCAACAAAAATGTCTGAGGTTTCTAACCTGATGAGATCAACAGAAAATGTCTGAGGTTTCTAACCTGATGAGATCAACAAAAATGTCTGAGGTTTCTAACCTGATGAGATCAACAAAAATGTCTGAGGTTTCTAACCTGATGAGATCAACAAAAATGTCTGAGGTTTCTAACCTGATGAGATCAACAAAAATGTCTGAGGTTTCTAATCTGATGAGATCAACAAAAATGTCTCAACATTTCTAACCTGATGAGATCAACAAAAATGTCTGAGGTTTCTAACCTGATGAGATCAACAAAAATGTCTGAGGTTTCTAACCTGATGAGATCAACAGAAATGTCTGAGGTTTCTATTATTTCTAACCTGATGAGATCAACAAATATGTCTGAGGTTTCTAACCTGATGAGATCAACAAAAATGTCTGAGGTTTCTAACCTGATGAGATCAACAAAAATGTCTGAGGTTTCTAACCTGATGAGATCAACAAAAATGTCTGAGGTTTCTAACCTGATGAGATCAACAAAAATGTCTGAGGTTTCTAACCTGATGAGATCAACAAAAATGTCTGAGGTTTCTAACCTGATGAGATCAACAAAAATGTCTGAGGTTTCTAACCTGATGAGATCAACAAAAATGTCTGAGGTTTCTAACCTGATGAGATCAACAAAAATGTCTGAGGTTTCTAACCTGATGAGATCAACAAAAATGTCTGAGGTTTCTAACCTGATGAAATCAACAAAAATGTCTGAGGTTTCTAACCTGATGAGATCAACAAAAATGTCTGAGGCTTCTAACCTGATGAGATCAACAAAAATGTCTGAGGTTTCTAACCTGATGAGATCAACAAAAATGTCTGAGGTTTCTAACCTGATGAGATCAACAAAAATGTCTGAGGTTTCTAATATTTCTAACCTGATGAGATCAACAGAAATGTCTGAGGTTTCTAACCTGATGAGATCAACAGAAATGTCTGAGGTTTCTATTATTTCTAACTTGATGAGATCAACAGAAATGTCTGAGGTTTCTAACCTGATGAGATCAACAAAAATGTCTGAGGTTTCTAACCTGATGAGATCAACAAAAATGTCTGAGGTTTCTAACCTGATGAGATCAACAAAAATATCTGAGGTTTCTAACCTGATGAGATCAACAAAAATGTCTGAGGTTTCTATGAGCATCGTGCCACGGTCGCCCAATGTCGCCCTGAGGTTGGTCCCGTCCCCTGAAATAAAATACGAGTCTGAGCTTGCCTTGCTAATTGTCTGAGTTTACCTGGCCTAAGTGTCAGAGTTTACCTGGCCTAAGTGTCAGAGTTTACCTGACCTAAGTGTCTGTTTACCTGGCCTAAGTGTCAGCTTACCTGGCCTAAGTGTCTGAGTTTACCTGGCCTAAGTGTCTGTTTACCTGGCCTAAGTGTCAGCTTACCTGGCCTAAGTGTCTGTTTACCTGGCCTAAGTGTCTGTTTACCTGGCCTAAGTGTCTGTGTTTACCTGGCCTAAGTGTCAGAGCTATGGCGATGGGCACGACACAACTGAGCGAGTTGGAGACGACGATGTAGACGAGCGAGATGAAGCTGACACGTCCGTTACATTTGGGGTCGAGAGAAGCTGTGCCTGGGATAGACAACAGACAGTTTATTGACAGACAACAGACAAGTTTACTGACAGACAACAGACAAGTTTACTAAAAAGACAACAGACAATGAGAACTAACGTGTTGAAGGGTCTGTACCTGTGATAACACTGGAGATGATGAGCGGAAGTATCATCATCTTGAGCATGCGCATGTACACCTCTCCCGGAAGTCCTGGAGAATTACCAAACATTTTTAAAATGAACCTAAGGGTTAGGGTTCTGTGAAGCAACTCAAAGCTAAAACCTGCTAACATTTGACAAGGGAATTGTTAGTTAGTAATTGTTAATTTAATTTGTCTTGATTCCACAGTTCCTGAAATAAGTTCGACAATTGAAATCAGGTATTTTCTCCCTCATCGTCAGTAAGTTCAGATCCCCCCCCCCCCCCTCCACACACACACACACACAAGCAATACCATCAATCTATTTTTTTTTTAATCTTGGTTTCCTTTCCCCGTCACTCTACTTGGGCTTTTTCTTTGTTCGATATTTCTGTGGTTGTCACAGAGAGGCCAATTATTCTTATTAAATTCTTACTATAAATTGTAATGGAATATTTTGAAAGTGTTAGTAATGGAAACATTCAGTAATGACTGTCGCTAAAAAAAAATTCAGTAACAACTTTAAGAAAATTAAAATACGACTAACATATCTAGGCATGTGAAAACAATATGAAAATACAAACGGATTCGTTGCTGACTGCACCGGCGCAGAGGCGTAGCGACCCCTCCCGGCGCCCGGGGACAAACTTTCAATTTGCCCCCCCCCCCCATAATTTTTATATTTATAATTTAAAACTGCAGCTAAAATGAGCTTTTATTTTTTTTCCGCCCGGGGACATATTGTTACATTAATATGTAACCTATACCCTCATTTTCCTTTTATTGAGGG